TCTCCTATCGTCCCACAGATTTAAAAATGGACTCAGTAGCAATATAGTGCCTAAGCCAACCTAGAACCTAAATATAGTGCATATGCTAACAACAGGTTGTAGCAGATGATTTACCAATAATAACCAACTCTCTTCTCACCTTTTCATAATAAGAAACAATGAATAGGGCCGGCCTAGTGGCACATTGGTTAAGAGCTGGCTTGGGACGCCAGAGGGCCTGGTTCGGATCCCACATATGAGGGCCAGTGACACTGCCCTCCACAGCTAAGATGCTGAACAACAGCTCAGCCTGGAGCTGGGCTGCTGTGAGTCACTGGGGACGGCGTACGCTGCAGTCCCTGCTGCAGTGGGTTGCCATGGGCTACCGTGTGTAGCCAGCAGCCAGCGTGAGAGGCTGTCCAGAAGCCGGCGACTGATCTGCCTCGCCCGGGAAGAGCGTAATGGTGCCAACTTGGGCCAGTGAAGCAACATCCTCCACAACTAGACTGAAGAACAAAAGGACAGCAACTTGTCTGTTCCCCTTCCCCCAATTCCCCAGCGCTGTTCCCATCCCCCAATTCCCCAATAAAAATCTTAAAAAAAAAGAAAAAGAAAAAGAAACAATGAGTAAACAACCTTTAAAATTTCTTTACATCAATAAGGAAAAAAAGGATCAAAGACAGGGGGAAATCAATGCTTTTCCTTGACTGACTCTTAGACTACATGAGACTAAAGTGAGATGTGACAATAAAAAGCCCTTTTTATATGTCAGAGCTGGCTACTGACAGGGCTGGGAAATGATACAGGGGACTGTTGATACTGGCAAGGAAAACAAATTTTAAGTCTTAATTCTTTACATTGTTAGCAGTATGTGACCAAGGTCACTTCAGGTAGCTACCTTTGGTGTAATGCATGTAGGTATGCTTTAGATCTGTCATTTCCTTGCTTGATGGATAGATAGATGGATTGATTTTTACAGCTTAAAACAATGAACACCGAATCTCTCACCATTTCTATGGTTCAGGAATCTCGGCACAATTTAGCTGAATGCCTCTGGCTTGGGGTCCCTCGCAGGCTGCAATCAAGGTGTCCACCGGGGCTGTTAAAGCAAGAAATCTAATTTTAGAATAGAAATCAATGGCCAGGCAATTAATTGATCCATTTTTCAAAACTAAAATGTACAGGGGCAAAGTCAATAACATTTCTAAATGAGTAATTTATCTCATTTATAAAACTGAAAAGAGTATTAAGAATATCTTAAACAGATTTTCAGTACATGGTTGATTCTGAATAAGTAACACCCATAGGAGAGCACAAACAGATTTTCTGAAACGATTGGTATTCAAAACCATTTCAACTTGGTTTTAGAGTCCAGGGAAGGCAACATGTCCATAGGAGCTTAAAGCCTCATCTTCTCAAAACCACCACAGCATTCCCTGTGGAAAACCTCTGGAGACCCCCTCACTCCCAGGATAAAGACCAAAATGCTCAGCGTGTCCAACTAGGCCCTGCAGTGCTTGGCCACAGTCTGGCCACTCCTTCCTCTTCAGCGCTCTCATACTTGCAGCCTCCCTCACCTGATCCCTGTGCTCGTTCTCTGCCCCTGCCTCGACCACCTGTCAAGCTCCTTACCACCTCAAATCTTTTCACAAACAAGTTGACCCCTCCATCTTGGCCATTCTCCCCACCTGACTACCCACTGATGTGTTTGGCTCACAATCATCCCTTGGATTTCATCTCAAATATCTCTTCCTCACACACATGCTCAGACTGGATCAGGTTTCCCATAGCCTCTCATACACTGCTCTTTCCCTTTAGGGAACTATGTAGTTGATAATTACATATTGGTATATATTATTTAACTGCTACCTGTCTTCTCAGCTTGACCAAGCTTCCTAAGCAGAGGGTCTCTACCAGTCTGAGCCACCCATTCTCCCACCTTCACCCAGCACAGCCTGGAACTTGACACCTGATGAATGTACTGATCAGTTATCTGGTGTCGCTCCAAAGTCTGTCCAAATAATGAACAGAAAGCAAGTGTGGGTAGCCATGAATGAGAATTTTTAAAATTAAGTTTAGTTTGCCTGTGGGACAGCTTACAAGCTCAATTAATGATAGCTTCTAATTTTCTGTGGGGAATCTCTATTGTTCATATAATTTCATTCACTGAAATCATCACTCCTGTCACTCATTTCCTTTAAGACCTAGCGCTATTGGTCGATGCTGTCTCTCTGCAACCAGAACTAGGAATAAAAAAGAATGTTTTTAGGTGACTTTTCCTCATGGTCCACCTACCAAGATAAGGCATTTAAATCTAATTACCATATTTTGCTGTGTATAATGCACACCCATGTTTTTGGCCCAAATTTTCAGGGAAAAGACCTTTCATTTTAATTTTTTAATTCAAATTTTTATTTGTTTACATTTAGGTACTTGTTTTTTGTATTATAAAGGAATTTTAGCATTTATTTTTAAACATATTATGGTACAAGACATTTTATGTAACACATAATTATAAAACACAAGAATAGATACAAGGTACAAGAAGTTTTATGTACCAGTAACAAATTTATGATATTTACACATCATAAAAGGCCAACAACTCTTCGTCATTGCAAGTTGTTTGTTGTAAGTTCAACAAAACTGATTATCATATTCCAGGGTATTATTATTATTTAAGATTTTATTGGGGAATTTGGGGAGGGGAACAGCGTTGGGGAATCAGGGAAGGGGAACAGACAAGTTGCTGTCCTTTTTGTTCTTCAGTCTAGTTGTGGAGGACATCCCTTCACTGGCCCATGTTGGTATTATCATTGAGCTCTTCCCAGTTGAGGTAGTCACTCGCCGGCCATTGGATGGCCGCTCAAGGAAGCTCACAGCAGCTCACACCAGCTGCTGACCAGCCCCACTACAGCCTACGCCATTGCCGGCAACTCTCGGCAGCCCAGCTCCAGGTCAAGCTGTTGTTGTTCATTATCTTAGCTGTAGAGGGCGCAGTGTCACTGGCCCTCATGTGGGATCTGAACTGGGGCCCTGATGCTCAGAGCTGGTGTCCCAAGTCAACTCCTAACCAACGCACCACTCGGCCGGCCCTCCAGGGTATTATTTTGCATACAGATATCATAATTGACTTCTAGAGTTGCAATTTTAACATATAAGCATAAATAAAAGAAATAAAAACATTTATATAGATATGGAATTAGTACTACCCATGCATAATAGGCAGCCTCATTTTTCCCCCCCAAATTTGGGCAAAAATGTATGCATTATACATGGCAAAATATGGTACTTAGTTCCCTCTCTGGCTTCTAGGGAAGATGGAAGGCTGACCTCTTTTTGCAGGAAAGTAAAACAACTTCAGTTGTATTATCTGCTTATTTGAATTATCCTGGCCATTATTACAGATAATTGTGACCTGGTAACACAAAGACTTTCCATTTTAAGTTTTTGTGGAAATTATCCTTATTAGAAAGTGTTACAGATTATCAAAGCCAAGCTGTTGAGTCAACAATAATAGCAAACCATACCCACTTAGGTTGGGACTACAAGTGATCTATAATTATTATTTTTTTAAGTTGATTACCTGTCATTCATTCCTTTACTCATTCATTCAGCAATTATTTACTGATTACCATCTTTGTGCCAGGCATTAGGATTGAGAGAGTTTCCCCAATGTCCATGGAGTCCACAGTCCTATGGAGCAAAAACATCTTGCTTTACTCAAAAGAGAATCAAAGAAAAGAAAGACAGTTTCAGATCAGAAGGTAGAAATAATGTTCAAAAAAATTTACCTGTGATTTGAATAGTAAGAGTTATAAAAGTGGACTTGGATAATGTGCCACCATTATATCCTTAGCAGTAGGCACAACAGGCGCAAAGGTCAGCTTGTATCCCTAAAGACACCCATCCTCTCTGTGAAAGTCTGCAATATCTTCCCAAGAATCATTTTAAGAAATGATAAATGCTCTTCTTTCTAGGAAGATTTACATGTGATTATAACTGTCCTATCTGATGGCCAACAAATCATTTTTATATGGTTTTCGTAAGTTCTGTACCCAGAAAACAAATGACCACCGAAAGGCACACTTTGGGCTGTGCATTTGTTTCATACGTCAAGACCAGCCACACGTTCCGTGACTCACTAGGAAGACTCACGGGACTCACAGCGACACTTTATCACAGTGAAAGGATATGTATACAACAGGGTCAGCAAGGAGGAAAGACACAGGTGGAGCCTGAAGAAATCCCTTTCCAGGCTTCCTATGCTCTCACCCTCCCACGAGTGGACACACAGAGCATGCTTCTTTCTCCACTGGCAAAAAGTGCAGTCATACATGTGCAATGTTTCTGCCCAGGGAAGCCCATTAGGGACTCAGCACCAAGGTTTTTATTGAGACTGATTATGTGGACACCTTTTGCCTGCTAATTACCAAAATTTCAGACTCCCAGAATAAAACAGGTGTGCACCATTAATTACAGTGCTTGCACAGTCTAGGCATAGTGAGTCATCCGTACTCATTAGGGAATGGAGAGAACATCCCAAAACCCAAGATCCCAAATGCCAGACAAGGGCCGAACTTGCAAGCAGGTCCTTCTAAAGATGACAGACTCAGGCTTGTTATAGTAACTCTTTTCTGAACACAGTCCTTTAAATCTTCCAGAATACGTGTTGTAGGAAATAGAAAATTCATGTTTATCTCTCTCTGTCTACATGGCTAAAGACACTGTGGTCAGCCTCAATTTTTAGGTTTTATTATCATTAGAGCTGTTAGTAGGAATTATCATTTTTGGATAAATACTACTATTAATAATATTGTTGCTATTAATTCTAGTAGTCACTATTAGTGGCAATATTATTAATATATTGTGCATTATTTCTATATCATATTTATATCAGTCCTTTCCATGATGGTTAACATTCTTTGAAAGGTGTTAACAGGCTGAGATTATGAAAATCTAAGGAGATTCTGTGTTTGGTTCCGGATTTTATTTTTCTTCTAATCTGTTGCCTTCTTTAACAGGACAGACTTTCTGCAGCTTGAAGGAGCCAACCATGGATTTCAGGCGTGTGAAGGACTATTTCTCCTGGCTCTACTACCAATACCAAATCATTAGCTGCTGTGCGGTCTTAGAGCCCTGGGAGCGATCCATGTTCAATACCATCTTACTCACCATTTTTGCTATGGTGGTGTATACGGCCTATGTTTTTATCCCAATCCATATCCGCCTGGCTTGGGAATTTTTCTCCAAAATGTGCGGCTATCACAGTACAATTTCTAATTGATCTCCTCTTCATTCTATGAATTGGCACTGCATATGTGTATGTTACTTACAGTTTATTGTTTGAGGTGAATACTGTGTCTTCTTTCACAATCTGACCTAAAAAGTTCTCTCTTCTCTATGCACTCTGAAATCCTGCCTGAAATCTGAAATAGGTGTCTCTTTAGGTTCTTTTGTACATGTTACATTGTGCATAGGTACTATGATGACCTTACCTCACATACCATATTTTCTCAACTTAAATCTATGACTTTAAGGTTTTTTTTAATCAGAAAATTTCATATAAAATGTTTCTGGAAAGTAGGCTCATAAAAGACTTACCAGAATCATGTTTCAAGTGTTCCCTTGATACCAATTCTATACTAAAGAATATATTTTTAAAAATTTGTTCATAGGCTACTGTCAAAAGTATCATATCCTTGTTTACAATATACAGAGGATGCCAAAAAAAGTATACACATTTTAAGAAAGGAAAAAACTATTAAAATTGTAATGCTCAATATATACTAATGACAAAAGATGAATACAAGTCAGGTGTATACAATTTTTTGGCACCCCTGGTATAAAAAGATGTGAATAAATTATATGGGCCCCCTAAAGTCTTATTTTCTAGTAAGCTGCTGATAACCTAAAATTCTTTCACTTCAAATGCAAAAGAATAGGCTGGAGGTAATTATCTCCTTTCAGACATGGTTTGTGAATTGTTTCAAAAGCCTCTATAAGTCTGGCTTTATAACAGTTTAAAATCAACAATGTTGATTTTAGATAACCCAGTAAGTATTATAATACAAATTAATTTTTTAAGTGTAAGAAAAAATTATAATCAAAGTAAATTCAGATATTGTGACTTGAGATGTTGCCTTGCCTTGCATGATGCTGGTGGGGGGGGGCAGGGTAAGAGAAAATAAATTATTTTCTTTCTGTTCTTTCACTCAGTGGAGGGGAGAAAAAAAGCATGTATTGGGCTACAGGAAGAAAAGCTAACAAATAGGCTGGAAGTAATATTCTGCCAGCAGGAACTTGACAACTCCAGTTAAATGCTTTGATATAGTGGCTCCTTTGCAGAGCAAAAACAAGATTTATTAAATTTCCTGCAAAGTGTTTATCTTAAATACAATTACAAGTTTTTAATTATATTGTTGAATTAAATATGAATGCCAAAGATTAAACCTTGCAGTTTTTCTTTCCTCTCAATAAGTATTAACGTTACTAATTCTGGAGTAAAAATGTAAATAGTTTTTAGACAATATTTGCACCCTTGTGCTTTGAAAATAAATTTTTCCAAAGACAGCTAGAGAGAATGATGTTTTGCATGCCATATTAACTTGCATGTTTGTTAAAAACTCAAAAACAAACACGTGTTTTGAAGATAAACCAGATCTGAACATGTATTTGTTGATTTTTGCAAAATAAAATTAGGTTTAATTTTATAAATAAAATATCCACCTCAGATTGGCTTTTTCCTCATATTGCACTATCTAGGTGCTTACATCCGTATTTCTCCCCCAAATTATCATTTCTTACTAGGCCAGTGGGTCAACGGATCTTAAAATGGGAGGGTCAAATTAACATTTACCAAGGGTCTCCTCCACGGTGGACACGTTTTCCATGTTGAAGTAGGTATTAAGGTCTCTCAGTTACAGGTAAGGAACCTGGAACTTGGAAAAGGTCTATTTCTTGTTCAAGGTCCTATAGCTAATAGTGGCAAAGCAAGGAGGCAAATCCAGGTCAGGGCCACACTGGGCCCTGACATAGCTGCCACATGGAAGCCCATGGGAGGACAACGTGAGCGAATGAAAGTTGGTGGGATGGGAGTCACCGAAATGTTGGAAAGCAGAACCTCATCAAATAACAGGATAAGAGCTAGGAGGAGACAGCTGAGGTTAGAGAAACAAATAGCCCAAATCTCAGCCAGCACCTTTGCGGCTTACCCAGCGACTGTGCTCGCCGTTTCTGCGCTGTCCAGGCACATATGCCTATTTCGAAGGATTGCTTTCGCTTTAAAATATTTAACAGCGGATGCTCAGTTAAAGCATGAACTTGGATAGATTCCCAGTTCACAATGATTCAACACCTTTATTACATGGACCCCTGCTAAGTACCATTGGAATTCAATCACAAAGATACTGCACTGACCTTTTTATAATCCTCCTTCTAAAAATAAGAACGAAGAGAAATGTGAATAGACCCAGCAACGCATAATAAACAATATTGCAAACCACTGCCCCAGGATGTCACTTTGAATGTAAGCATTTCCTCTGAGAAATCAAAATAATAAATACAGGGTGAAAAGTATAATCAAACAGTTTGAGAGGAAAAAAAAAATACTACCTGGGCACAGAAGGGAAGAAAGCTCTGCCTGCCCGGCCCACTGTGTTGGTTTTCTGGACTAGCAGAGATGCTCTATACCTTGACCATAGTTAGCCTAGATTAGAAACATGTTTTATATATTTTTATTTTGCATCATTATTTGTATGTTTCAATGGTGCATACAACTTAAAAAAAAAAAAACCCAAAGGTGCCATGGTTTAAACGGACTTGCATTTGTCACTCACGAAAGTAGGAATCATAAGATGTTCTTTCACTGGTACTGGCCAAGTCAACAATTGGTTTTATCTACTGGTGCAACAAAAAAACACCACAAAATGCCAAAAAATAAGGCAGTTTTAACATCAGGACAACACTGGTCAGTCTTTATTGATAAGTTGTGTGCAAAAAAAGTCACTAGCCCACATTTTCTACTTCTTTCTCCTTCCATCACTAACATATTTAGTTCCTCTCACTAGTATAGCGTGTGCCCCTGAAAGGCAGGAAATTTGCACTTATTTCTGAACCCCCAGCATCTAGCCCAGTACCTGGTACAGCAAGATACACATCCTAGGGAATGTAATATAGTCCCTGATACCATGTCCACATGGAAAAAAAAAGAGCTCAGATTTGGTGAGCCTCAGGATGGACAGCTTCCAGCTATCGACCAAGAGAGTAACATGAATTCGTTCTTTTATTCATTCTTTCAACAAATGTATTAAAAGGCCACAATCTATTTATAGATAGATGGAAAAATGGATAGATATGTGATGAAAAAGTACAGTAAAAACTAGGTGATAGGTATTCAGGTGTTCACTGTAAAATTCTCTTTACTGTATGTTTGAATTCTTTTATTTAAAAAATACTGGGGAAAAAGTCTACCCTGTGCTATTTATTGAACTTGCCACTAGGAAAAAAAGATGAATGAGAAAGAAAACAGAAAAATTCCTGGATTTCTGAATCCTACAATCCTGCAGGCAAGATGACACAAAAAATATGCAAAAAAAAAAACATCTTAATAAGATGAACAGCAGGGTGCTGAAGAAAAAGCAAGAGGGTTGGGGACAGCAGAGCTCTTGAGGGGCTGCATTAGAGTAACATCCAAACGTCTAAATGCAGGACTTGATGCAGTGGGGCAATGAGGGAGGGAGAATGTCGTTTGCACTAAGATGACGACGCTGGACATTGTGTGGGAGCGGATGGGTCAGCATGAGTGTGAGCAGGGAGACCCGATGCAGATGAGAATGAAGGTGGTAACAAAAGAAATAGAAATATACTGATCTGATTTGACATATGTTGTAGCTGGAAAGTCAGTACATCTTGCTTATGGGTTAAATCAAAGTGGTAACTCCATTAAATACACAAAACCTTTTTCATTAAATATCTAACCCTCACCCCCAAAGGAAACGTCCTCCTCATTTTGGGAGTTATTTCTAGAGCTGATTAGCTGCCCATAAGAAAGGATAGACCCGTTTTGAAAAGTTGAAAAAACCAAACTCTATTATGTTTTGACGTTTTTCCAACTTTTAAATTAAAGCTTCACCACAACTCATCAAGAGTCCTTATACTTCTGGTTGGAAGAAAGGACTCCAATTTTTCATCACGAGACAGAATGTTATTCTCTAGGTACTTGGAATCATCAAAACTGACTAACCAAAATATCAGTAACATTATTGTTCCTTGGGATTAAAATTTCCCAACACCTATTCTACAGCTTAAAAAGTCTTTGAGAGCAAACTTTAGAGCTTGGGTTCTTTTTTATTTATTCCTGAATTATTATGTTGACCATAATGAAAGTCATAGCATTGAGAAGATTTAATGGTGAGGTTAGCGAGACAAGGCTGACCAATGTTTAATTTTAGCTACTTGCTTAGAAATTATAAGGAAATAAGAGGCAGAAGTTCCAAAATAAAATTACAGTGCCTTCACTACAATGCTAGCCTATTTCTGTAGCTTTTTTGTATACAATGATGATGTATTCCATTGACAATATTCACACCTCTAATCATTTCCATATGAAACTCAAAATTCAAATTGCTCCTTTTTATGATAGCATTTTTGTTTCTAACAGAGGTCTGGTTGTGGCGGTGGGGAGACTGCAAAACAGAGGAGAGCTCCCTATGTCCCTCCCTCCCAGCCCCTGCCTGGCACAGCCACACACAGCAGGTAAACTTCCTGGATGGCATCATCCCAATCACTAGGGACACAGTGATGGAGGAAAGCCCCAGTCACTCAGCTTGGATTCCCACTGAGTGATGAGACCGGAGGAAGGAATGAGGAGGAAGGGGAGAGAGATGGGGGAGAGGAGGAAGGAAGGAAAAAGGGAAAAGGAAAAAGCATGATTCTTTTGTTTTCTAAGTTTATACTGGAAAAGCCTCACTTCCAAGTAAATTGCAATACTTCTCTTCTGTCCTTATCCCTCAATTTCCCTGATCTCATGTAGTTTTTCTTACCATTTTCCTACCATAATTTTCTTTTGTTAAAATAATTCACTTTTGCCCAAGGTTAAAATAAATCTTGTGAATAACCAGGCAACTGATCTTCTCTCCATGCTCCAGTAGTCCTTACATTTTCCTTCTTCAATGGCCTGGCTTATCAGGGTCCCTCTGCTTCACACGATCCCCTATATCACGCCATCATTATTTCTCAAGGCTTAATGACCTCATTAGAAAATTAGGAAGTGGGGTCACTCCAGAGATTCTCCCAATTAAAAAGTCCGCAGTTGTATGAAATTCTAGTGATTCTCAGCATTTCAACTTCCTGAAACTTCCCCTGGTGATTGATAGCAACCTGGCCTTTCTCTGAAATGCTATGGCATTTGTAACCCTGGCATTAACCATCATTGTGGGAGAAAGGCAATATAGTCCACAAATAAAAGCAAACAAATACACAAAATCCCAAAGCGCAATTAATCCGTCCTTTCCGTGAAATGCAGGTGAGAAAATCTAGTTCCTTCAGCTGGTGGTGGATGTAAGGGAGAGGCCTCCCTCATTCCGCTTGCATTTCAGGAGCCATCCCCTCCAAAGCCCCTCCGGGTTCCCCCCCAGTCCCTCAGTCCTTTTAACCTCACCCTACCTACTCTTACAAGCAGCCCCACGAAGGGTTTACTGTCATTCTCTGCATCCTCAATTTTCACCATGGGGTGGGAGGAACATGAGGAATTGAGGGTGAGGAAAGGCGGCTCTGAGTAGAA